GTAGGGAAACAACGTTCCAGTTTCATTACTGCTGGCAGTAATTAGGGAAAAATAGTCAGTGGAGAATGAAAAGTATCTTGAATTAGACACATCTTACTTTCACTGATTTCCGTTGGTTCCCTACCATTTCTAAAAGGAGCTTCTGGTGTAACCTATACATCATAAATCTGTGAAGAAACTTTACCACCTTCCTCAGACTTTGGATGGTTCGTTTTGGGAAGTGGTACGTTTTCAAGTGCTTCAGTCCATACATTAAACCTTTAGTGGTGTCTTGGTCGCCATTCTTTATTCTCCACAGATTGAGAAGCTTCAGGACTTGCTCTGCAGGTTGACATCGTTTCATTGTGTCCTCGATATCTTCTTTGCCCACTTGCTTGCCTGGTAAGCTTGCCATCAGGGTGTTGAGGTGTTCAAAGGTGAGGTTCAGGTGGCCAATATGCTTTAAGATGCTATTTTCACACTGATTGATATCTACAGAAAGCAGAAAGAGAGGTAAGTACATGTTACAACTTCAACGTGGCCTACAAAAATAACTTCCAAAATTTCAGGGTGAATATTCCTTCCCAATTTGTTTTTTACTTTATTTCAAATAATTCTCTCAGCAATGCTTTTTTTTAGGCTCCAATTATGAAAAGCACTCAAGAATTTAATTAACTTTGCAAATACAAACAGCCCTAAATTACAAACTTCATAGCAAGTACTTATTGCTATACGCTTGTTTCATCCGTCTTGTAACATGTTCTGTGTCTGTGATAGGACTCCTAATATTTGGTTCCAGTGAATCAAAAGTTGGCTCTTCTTCTTCAAAAATGTCTAGGCAAGCTTTGCTAAAACAGTCATTCTGGATTTTGAAGTACCTGGACACTTCACAGTCTGACATAAGCATACATGCTAAAAAGGAGAGGGGAAAAATAAACCCAGAACATTTCTGCTGCATTTTTCAAATCTCCTCTGAGTGGACAAGAAGTCATTCCAATGTGGCGGTTGCTGATGGTGGCCTACGTGAAAGGAGTTTTCCTGACCCTCACAAAAACCTCGGTGTTAACACTGCAGCACTAATTCATCTTTGCACCTGCAGATTCGGCACCAACAAAGCGGTGAATTGGCATCACAAACAGGTCCCAGAAGGGAGAAAAAGGGGAAAGCCTGTCTGTATATTGCTCACTTCCATGCATCCCCGTTTTGGGAGCAGGTGTCCAGGTCTGAGTCTGGGAAGAATCCAGCCCTCGACGGATCAGGAGAAGCTGAAATCTCTTCCTGCTTCCCCTCAGCTTCACCGTGCTGACTGCATCGGTACATCTCAGCCAAGCCCTGCACATCCTCCTCAGAGCACAATGCGTCCCCAGGGGGATCTGATCCCAAGCAACTTTAAAAATGCCATTTAGAAGGTTGCTTTTAATATATGTACTATGAAAATAAGGTACCTTGAATGATCTTCTTGACCATATCCTGCTCTTTGTTTTGCTGCTTCCATACTTTGAAGAGCTGGAAGGTCTGCTCCTGAGGGGTGTGCCTTTCTTTCATCCTTTCGATATTTTCCATGCTAAGCTTCGTCCCAGGCAAACTGTCTGCTAGGACGTTCAGCCAGTTAGGCACGAGGAAAGTCGGAACAGCAAACCTGAAAAAAGCCTCCTCGCACAGGGTTACATCTGAAATGAGAGACAGAAGAACATGTCAGTTGTTCTGATCTCTGTTACCCTGCTTGCCTCTGAAAAAAACCCAAACAAGTAGCAAGGATGATAAGGGAAAAATGCTTAAAAAACAAACTAAGAAGTGGCCGTTATAGCACTGTCACTCTCTGTGCTTGAGTTCCATTTGGTCTGACCTACAATAACTAAAACTGCGGCCATCACCGCAGCAGGCAAATGGCTGACACGCTAGATATTTCTATCAGAAAATTTTAACTGAAATTAAAGATACGTTTTCAGAGCACTCTTCCTTAACATGATACCTACCTATTCCACATTTCTGAGATGCCGCGTCTGTATTTTCCTGACAGATGTTGTCACGAACTGCATTTCCCTTCAATGCTATTTTGAAACCCAGCACACTGCAGTTTGTGTGCTTTACACAGGCTGCTTTGGATGATGTTTCATTTGAGAAAAACCCTTCTGGACATCTCTTGCATACAGTGTCACTCTCAGGGGTACCTGTGGAAACAGGAAAACACAGGCATCCAATTACATATAACCTCAACTGTGAAAAAAGAAATACAAGAATGCAAAAATCAAATAAAATATTACTCCTAAAATAGTCGTGCTTCTGCTTTTCACATTTCTGATCTACAAAGGAATTGCTTTTTAAAAAAACTCCACATTTTAATTTTTAAAACCAAAAAAAAGTCTTCAGGAGACATGTTCCTGCTGCAGTAACAGAACAATTAGTACTCTCACATACACTTCTTACCAACTTTAAAATCAGAAACTACTCATTCCATCAGGAATTACTGGAGTCTCTTCAGACATAACATGATGTCTGACCTTCATCCTTCAGCTGTACAAATATTCTCTAAAACATGGCACAAGAAACTGCTCTAAACTGTACTCTAATATCTGCCCAGACCCTTACTCGAATGGATTACTTCAGTTCTAGCTAAAAATATAAACCAACTAAATGTCAACTGAAGACCCCCTGAGAAGCACTTTCCCTGCTCAAATACGAAATTATACAGGAATACAGAAGTTCAGTAACACTTTTTTAAACTTTTTTCTGGGCTTGAATAAAATATTGTTTAAAGCAAAGACATTAGATTGTCCAATATAGCAAACATATTTAATATAAAGACATATATTTTGCTTAGTGTTTTACTTTCATAAGGCACAGTTTTACTTCAGAATCAAATAGATATGATACAACATTCGAATGACAACGCACGGTTCTATCACATGGACAAAGAGGAAGAAAACTAATGTGTGAAATCTGAAACTGGTGCAGGAAAATAACAGCAGCAATAAATGCTGTATATTCACTCTTAATTCATCATTATTCAGCCAACATTTAAGCAAGTGCCTGAAGTCTAGTATCTAATATTGCATTATTGAACAGGAACTTAAGGACATGCTTAAAATTCTTTGGAAATAATTGGGAATTATATTTGAATAAGAAAATGCCTCCATCTAGTGTATTTTGGAAGTATTTACATGTGGATGCTTATTTTAATGGTAGATTTTAAGTTTATTTTAAGTTTAGCTTTATTTTAAGTAAATCTTATTTACTTTGAGCATTTCCTTAGAAAAAAGGTGTACGAATCTGCAGTTTTCAACCAGACATGAAATAAAGAATACTTGCACACACCCAGCCTAGCACTTCTTTTCTCAGACAGCAAATGAAAACGAAAACTGAAAATCAGAGACCCTGTGTATTGCCAAACCCCCAAATCCTGCTCTTTCTGCAGTCAGCACCCAGCCTGCAGCAGCAGCAGCCTCTGCCCCTGTGTTTCCTTGCACCGTGTGAGCTGCTGGGGCTCTGGGCTGTGGGAGACTCCAGTCAACCCCCGAGAAGTCTGGATTTTTAGCAACTTTCCCTGCCCCAGACAGGAGGAAGAGGAAGAAAGGAGAGTCCCTGCTAACGGGGCCTCAGAGCTTCCCGTATAACCCCTGCGGCAGAGGGAAATAAACTGCGTAATCCACCAGCATTCTTGGGGCTGGGCAGAAAGTAATCTCCCAGCTTTGCCAGCTTCTTCCTCACTGCTTATCTGCCTGCTCTTCTTCATGGCCCCAGTGGCCACAGCCCGGCCGCCCTCCCGCCACTCCCCAAAATTCTCCTGGAACCCCCCCTTGTCCCCAGGGAACCAGCAGCCTCAGCCAGGGGGACACAGCAGCCTTCCCCAGCACACAGCTGCTCAAAACTCTGCCACGTACAGAGCCAGCCGCGGCAGAAAGGAACAAAACCTTGATCTGCACTTGCGAAAGGGGACTGCCAGAGGAAAGGGATTGTCCCAGTGTAGCCGTGAGAGACTGGCAGTGGGGAAACACTGCTCATGCTTCAAGTTTTGAATGAGACACTGGACCATGCCATCTTCCTGTGCAGCAGTGGAAGCATATTTTTCTGTGGTTAGGATTTATTTCACCTGAATTTACATCCTTACAAAGTTCAAGGCCATCATATGGCAGAGGGTGGGAACACAGTGTGGTCCATGCTAAATTCTTAGATGATGCCTCACCTCTAAAACTTACTACTGACCCAGAAGGACACGATTATTCTTACAATGCTTTCATTCCTTGTTTGAGGTCTGCTTGGGTTTAGCTGGTCAGTCTTTTGGAAAACAACTTTCCAATAAATGACACAATTTGACAGTTTATCTTCCTCCAGAGCTTGTTTCATTTTGAACGGAGGCATTCCAATTTCTCTGCCACAGATTCACTGTGCTCATAGGGATGCAGCAGCCTGGTTGCACAGAGAATTTATACTTCCTTGTTCACTCCTGAGGCTGCATCTTGAGTACTGTGTTCAGTTTTGGGCACTGCAGTGTAAGAAAGACACTGAGGTGCTGGAGGGGTCCAAAGAAGGGCAACAAAGCTGGTGAAGGGTCTGGAGAAGTCTTATGAGGAGCAGCTGAGGGACTTGGGGTTGTTTAGTCTGAAGAAAAGGAGGCTGAGGGGAGACCTTATTGCCCCCTACAACTACATGAAAGGAGGCTGTAGAGAGGTGGGGGTCAGTCTCTTCTCACAAATTACAATCAATAGGACAAGAAACAATGGCCTCCAGTCACACCAGAGGAGGTCTAGGAGAGACATTAGGAAAAACTTCTACACTGAAAGGGTTATCAAAGACTGGAAGATGCTGCCCAGGGAAGTGGTGGAATCACCATCCTGGGATGTATTTAAAAGCCGTTTAGATATGGTGTTCAGGGACATGGTTCAGAACAGGACATGGTAGAGCTGGTTAACAGTTGGACTTGATGATCTTTAAGGTCTTTTCCAACCATAATGATTCTGTGATCTCCCAAATGGCCTTTCTGAGAACTTTGTTTCTGGCCCCTTCTGACTTGCTGTCAAGGTACGGTGGAAGCTTATTAACCCAAACCCCTGGGTATAATAATTTAGGTTAATGAAGGTTTATAATATAGAAATGCGGTAGCTGCCAGTGGAAATGCTTAACAGTGGCAAGGGTGTCGGGGTAACGCCTAGGTAACCAATTACGCGGGGACTAGTGAGCAGCTACAGCAGTGACATTACTCCTCATGTCAAAGCTGTTCTCCAACAAGATGTTCATAACCCAAGAAAGGGCTCCCAAGCTGTCATTCAGCATCTCTCTGCAAGGGACAGGCCAGTCCTAGTGTTCCTCACTGTATATACATCATTCCTAGGGACATAATTCTGCAGTCAGGAAATCGGTTGCCTACATGTTTGTGTCAGAGATGCTTTGATTTTCTGTATCCCCTTCCTCGGTGCTCTTCTCCAGGCAGTTGTCAATCGCTCATACGACGACAGTTTATAATTCTTTCAGGCTGTATTAAATACTGGAGCTAAACTGGGCCATGACATTTGCCAAATGATAAATTATGTATTTTATTTTGAGAGAAGAACTTATTATTGGTTTAACAATTTATGTTGTCTTAAATGAAGAATACACTCCACTGAAAAGCGCCGCTTCGCTCTGTATCCCCACCAGACCTGCAGCACAATGCCAGCCTGCTTGACAGAGAAACAGTTGTTTGTTTGATAACAGCAACAGTTTCCCTAAGAGCTCTACTTAGGATGCTGATAATTAATTATTACCACATATTGCTGTGATGCTAGAGCTATATTAATATTGTTATAATTATACACTTGGTGTCAAACATGTAGCGCTCCTGGTGTTTGTCAAGATACACAGTTGCTTGAAACAGCAGATTTCAAAATGAAAAACATTATTATTTATCACACACACAAATATTACATTCTAGATAATGTTCCTTTAAAAGAGGCAATCCATCATGTTTCTCATTAGAGTGCAATTTGCTGCATTTGCTACTGCCATTAAGTTACACATTACAGTAGGAGCCGGGTTTTCCACTGAGAAATGTTCTTTGGCTACAGTCCAAACGATGCAGCCTAGGAACGGGTTCAATTGGCTTTACAATTTACTGTCCTGTAATTTCATCTGGAAGAGCTCTTCCCTAATCTTGTCACTGTCACCAGTCGTTGACGTGCTGCAGAGCCCTAACTAAGCCTCTGCGTACCGAGCAGTGGTACGTACCTGGCTGCGCCACGCCGAATCCGGGAGGACACTCCGTGTGCTTCAGACAGAACTCGAGCTCCAGGTGCCGGCCTTCGACGCACTCGCAGAGGCGCGGCTGCGTGCTGCTGCACTCCTGCTTGACGAACTGCAGCTCTTTGCAAACGGCGCTGCAGTACTGGCACTCGTCGTCGCTGTTCCACTCCTCGGCGTAGTACTGGTCCGGGCATGGTGCGCACTGCGTCGCACTGGTGGCCGTGCAGTGCTGCTTGACGTAGGTCCCGGGGGGGCACTGGTCACACAGCAGCTGACGAGATGTCCCTGGGTCGTAATGGGGATACTTGCGAGGAGACTCATCCTGGATGGTCCACTTAACCGAAATGTCCAAGAGCTAGCCATAGGAAAACAAAACATCGCTCGCTTTAATTCTGGGGAGCATTGTGGTCACAAAGAAAGCTACGTTTTAATGACTGTATGAGTCTAATCATGTCGTTATCTTCAAAAAAAGTTTGCAGTATAAATTTATAAAAGATTAGCCAGCTTCTGGACTCTTCCATGTCTGTCTCAGAGCAGGAAAAGTTAAGGATCATACCCAGCAAATCTTCCCAACATAAATAAGTCCTTGTTCCTCCGGAGATGCAGATCATATCTTTCTCTCATTTACACCCTTTTAATATCACTGGGCAATGGCCTTTTATGTCTGGCACCAGAGAACCTGGTCTATCAGCTTCATTGGCATCACGCTTAATGCACTCAGTGTTCATCAAGTACTTCAGATGCAAAAGAAATGGCAAGTATCTGAGCATACAAATCTGACCAGCACACTGCACCATTACTGCAGACACCTTTAAAGGATGATCCCTTACAATATTTCATTTTCCCAGCAACGAATGGCTAGAACAACACAGGTTACTTTTTAATGCCTTCCAGTTAATCTTGCTCCAAAATGCAGTAGCTCTGGGGGTAAAACGTGGCAGCTACATCAAGTGTGAAGACGCAGCTCCAGACACAGGTAAAGCAGGCTGCAGTTAATGAAGGGCACATTAAGGATGTAATTGCAGGAGCTGGAAGAGCCCAGGCTAATGCTGTCACTCTCAGGTGTACTCCCTATGTACCGCTCCAGCCCTGTGGGGTTTGCTGGCAGCTCACTCTCCTCACAGAGAACCCAGCTCCGTCCCGGCGCTGTGTGACCAATGTGCCACTTCTCTTCTAAAACTCGTGCATTTTATAAAGATGAAGTAAACTGGCTGTGAATGAAGATGTTTTTCTATGTGATGCTTTTCTGTGTATCCATTCAAATTCTAGATGCAACTGACTTGTCTTTGTTGCCATTTTAATCCCAGTCAGCTAATGCAGAGTTTCCAGTTCAGTGTCAAGAATGTATCTTTGCCAGTGCAGGTGTCCCCAGGGTGTAAGTAGAATTAACCCTTTTTATTCATTTGGACTCAGTATTTCCTAAAGAGGCTTCACCTAAGGGCCCAACTTCTGCCACAGCATGGCACTTCTTAAGTGACAGTCTTACTAAGGCTGAAAGGAGAATTTAATCGCTCATCCACGCTAACGCAAGTCACAACGTCTGCACCAATTAACATTAAATGCCTAAATAAGGAAATCTTGCTCCTTAAGAAAATATTCCTAATTGCATTTCCTACTGTATGTCTATGAATCCACTTTTTATAGAGCTACACTTAGGTGAAGAATGAAATGCAGATAGTATGGATATTTCCCACAGCCTCTTCTAGTTACCCTTTACATCCCTCCACCTTGTCCAATCTGTGATTTCTACAGGAGGAGATGTCCCTTTCTCCTGTGCTCTCAATGCACTGTCATTGTGAGGAATTCCCTATTACTCCTTGAAGCTTGAGGTACCGCTCCATTTTTCCCAAACAACTGAATCTGTTTCATGCAATCTGTTTAACAACAGGGCGCAGCACATTTTTTAATAGTGAATGGCCTTTCATTGATGAAAAATGCACCCACCCTTGGTAAATCTACAGCAACTACTCCAGTAATAAGGAAGTCCTGGTAATCCCATTAGTTGTTGATGTGGTCAGGTTTTCTTCTCCGGTTTTTATTCACTAATAGACAATACTCTGCCCCTGGTGACACTTCTTCAGGTGCTGAACGGTTCGGTGGACCACTGCATGCTCAACCCCCCTCTGCAACATGCAGGAGCAAGAACAAGATTTTCCCTATGTTCTCAACCATTTACATTGGAAATCATGTATGAGGCAAGTGAGAAGTTTTGCTGCAGGGGATTAGTCAGGATTAAAAATAATTCAAATTCAATAATCAGGGTATGAGAGCATGTACAGAAAAATGGAGGTACTTGCTTCCTGAAGAGCCTACAACTGTGTGAAGCAAGCCAATAAAAACTGAAAACAATTCAACACAATTTGAGAGGGATTGACTTTAAAATTTGAGAAAAAAATACTTAACAAAACATATGTGAAACCATGGGAAGCTTTGCTTTTGGAAGTGGCAAAATGGCAACCAGAATACTATAAATCTAAATGAGCACAATCAATAACTATAATAACGGGATTAATAAATCAGCATCACTAAAAGGACGATCAGTCTTTACATTTGATTATTTTCTTTGTGTTTTTAAAAGAAAAGCACATCACAAATGCATTCCCATCTTTCCCAGAAACACACATTATGTGGCTGCAGGAATCCATCCATCAGTGGCTGAGCCATATGTATGCAGGATCCAACTCTTTTATTTAGTAAACAATTATGACTAAAGATTCTTCAGTAAAGCTAAAAGCTATAAATGCAATCGGTATCTCAGTATTTTACCAGCACATTTTATACATCTTGTTCAACATAAACTAGATGACCATTACTATTACTGTTTGGCTACTAGGATCATATTAGTACAGTGAGCTGTGCAGCTCATTGCCACAGGATGTTGTAAATGGTTGAGATCAAAATGTTCCTTAACATAGTTATGGAGGAAAATAATAAAGGGCTATTAAACATAAACATCACCTTTTGATCAGGAAATCCAAACCCACAAATTGCTTGAGCCTGGAAGAGTGCTGTGGAAAAATATCACCTTTTTTTGCCTTTTTCTTCCATCTCCTCTATGTCTCCATTATCAAGCCCTGCCATAGACAGCATATGGGGCTTCTTAGGACATTTTTTCTGGATTATTTTTTTCATAGGCCCAGTACAGCCATTAGTGCGTTGTTAAGTACATTACTAGCCTCCAATCCCCAATACCACACTTCTCTTCATAAGAGTGCTGTAGGTCCCTTAACAACCATTAAAAGAAGAGATTTGCAAGACTGTCTTCTATGCATGAGTATTCTGAATATGAATATGCAACCTGAAAATCAAAAGTTATCCCTGAACCTACATCAAGTGCCAAGGTAAAATCAATCTATTTTTCAGATGTTTTGCAAAAATGCAGGAAGAATGGTGGAATTTTTAGTAATTTTTACTAGTCTTGCTGCAGCAACTTGGCACAAACAAAATGAAAATACTCTTCTTGTCCCCCAGCTCACAGAATACGCCAGAGGGGAACATCACTAAATCGTCCTTTCTCCTGGCCTGAGACATACTGACTGCGTGCTTACATTAGCAAGTTGGATCACCTGTTACAGCAGATTTGCAGAGTAAAACAGATGGTGCCGAGCACCTGACATCCACATGGTGTGCAGTTCAGAGGAGGTATTTTGGACTCACTTCTGTCTGCTCTCAAGGACTGAGTGCGTGTTAGTGGTTACAGTGCAGCTGGTGCATCTCTGAAGTCTGTCTCTGGATTTACTTTCATCAATCCAGTTTACTTTTGTAAATCCACTTTGTGCACTCCAAGGCTGCTCTGATGTGCAAACTAAAATACAGTAAATAAGGATGATTAGGAGAGGCCCTTCAAAAGCATGTTCCCAAATCAAATTAAAATGGTAATGAAATGCATTTTATGTCATTCCTGACATTTCTCCTCCTAAACTATGCTATGAACAACTTTGTAGCAGAGTCTGAGCCACATAAAACCTCTGATTGACCTCAATACCCGTACTTACAAGTGGGCATTGAGCCACAGAGATGATCAGGGGACTGGAGCATCTTCCATGTGAGCAAAGGCTGAGAGAGCTGGGGCTGTTTAGCCTGGAGGAGAGGAGGCTGAGAGGAGATCTCAGCCTGGACATGTTCCTGTGTGACCTAGTTTAGGTGAGCCTGCTCTGGCAGGTGGCTTGGACTGAATGATCTTTAGAGGTCCCTTCCAAACCCTGCCATTCTGTGATTCTGTGATACTAAACATCTGAATTTCTCCTGTAGGAAATAGCACTATTTGAGCACATGAAAATGCCACGATCAGAACTTACTAAATCTGAACATTGGTCTTCCCAAAAGTTTGACAGAAAGCAGGATTTCTCCTGTAATCATGCTGGCACTGGTCTGTTTTGCTCCTGCTGGAGAAGAAGTCATGTTCCAGTTTGAAAGGAGGAAAATACTAGAAGTCTGGCTTCAGTTTACTGGAATCAGAAGTACAGGCTATGATCATGTTCACCCTTTAGCCCTTAAGAAACCAAAGCTGAAGTCTATTAGTGCTACACTTGGCCAAAATAATGGATTTGTCATTCAGAAGACTGAGTAAAATTCTGTTCCTCCTTGTTTAGGAAAGGTTAATTCATCCTGGAAGAGGTACAGAGAAAGTTTAGAAGGAAATGGAGAGCTTCATCTTGAAGAGGATCTTGACTTGTTCAATAGCTTGGCAAGTCAGGACAGTACCTATAGATCCAGTACGAATAAGACAGTAAACACATGGAGAGAGAGGAACTTTTTCCATTCAAGGATAATGCTGGCAAATGAAAGGGGGATTCTCTCGTCAGAGGATGTTTGGGAACAGCCTTTTACTGAGAAGCAGGTGTAAGAAACCTAAGTAGTTTAAATATAGCTCTCAATGCATTTCTGAAAGCAAATACACCGTTTGGTTTCCTGGAAGAGCTGGGGAATGGACTGAAAAGACCCAAACAGTTTCTTTCACTTTCAAACTCTAAGCAAATCCTTTCTATCCCAACACCGACGGAAGCCAATGATGCTCAGCATCTTGTTCATCTCAACAAATTATTCGTTAGTCTGATTCAGGGTGCACTCAATTGCAAATGCTTTTCCTAGGGGTACTGAAATGCAAGGCTTAATTTAAAAAACAATCCCAAAGGCTGGGGTTTTTTGTTCTGAGTCTGACATGCTATCAGTAACAAAATAATTACAATAAACCAAAACAAAATCTAGTATTATTAACTACATCCATCAACCTATTGGGAGAAATTCAGTTCTAGTGTCACGGCCTCAGTTCTGAAAGGGCCAAAACACTCAGTTCTCATCCATCTCCACGGGCCAAATGCTGGGTACCCCTCAGGATGGATGTCTCCGTGCGAGGGATTGGGATGAACTGTAAATACTGAAATACGAGTCTTGTGTAAGCCAGTGTGATGCAAGTAAATACTGAGAACTTATTCACAATGAGTTACCCAAGGTTAAAAATAAATTCTTTGATTGTGTCACTCAACACATTAGGCCTGAAGCGATATTTTTACATACCATTTTTATGTCAGCATACACAATGCTAACATAAAAGGCCTGTGAAGTCCATTTATTTGAGCCCTTAGAAGATGCTTTTGAAAGGAAAATAATGTGATGATAAAATTTCATTTCAGATCTTGGGCATGAAAAAAGTACATGCCCTTTTCTTTCATCTTTAAATGTAAGGCAAAGAGCCGCTTGCTTTTTCTTGTTGAATTAAAATGAACTGGAAGACAAAGCACATAAAGCAAGAAATCCTTCAAGCATCATCCCCTTAAATCCCTGCTTTGTGAGAGAAAAGAGAGTGGCTTTTCAGCATATGAAAATATTATTATATAGCTTGGCTTTGTGGTTTTGGGTTGTAGACCAAAGGCGAATGTTTAATTTGCTGAGAAAGATAAATCTGTTTCTGTTTTGCATTCCACAACTATTCCGAAGCATATTTTCCTGCGTGATAAATAATCACTCAAGGCATCTGTCAGATCGCTCCTAGTGTTTGCATTGGGTTCAAAGCAAAACCTCACAACTCTCCTACTTTGCTTTCTACACAAACTATCTGGACAAAGCTAAGGCAGGAGGCCTTCGCTCACCCGCAGCCCTTAGGCAGAATGCCTGACTAAAATCATGCACAGACCCCAGATATATCCCAATGGCAAAATACAGCGCTGAATTGTATTGAGGTCCTCCTAATCAACAGCTTGTCAAATCAAACCTGTTTCTCTAAATCCAGTACATGACTATGTCAGGCTGGATGAGATCCATGGCTGCCTATTGCAAATAACCATTGTAAAATATTTATCATTTATCAGCTAGGGAGAAATGACTCCCATCCGTCTGGGAGATACTCAACTCTCATCCTCCTCACATTACTGTTCTGGAGGTCCCCATCACCGAATTTAACCTCTTTGGGCCCACAGCTCTGCAGCCCTGCTTACCCCAGGATCTGCTGTGGGGTCACTTTGAGCCCAGCCCAGACAAAGCCCCTTTCAGCAGACCAAAGCTGTCAAGTACACAATGAAAGCTACAATGGAGTAGGTTTTTCTGGTTTGGGTTCAGCTTTTGAAGCTGTTCCACCATTCTGCCAACTATTTCAACGGAACCCACTCACTTTGAACATGACAGGACCTATGTCTGTATGGAAGATGTTTTATAAGGCTGCCCTTCTACGTAAGGAATATAACTAGTGACTCTCCTGAGCCACCTGTATTCCAAAACTGAGGCTATCAGCCACTGTCTTCATTTCTCTGTCAGTACTGCAATGTGTCAACAACTCACGTCTCATGGAGGCTGTGTAAGGCACCAATACTTGTCATTCACAAAGCACTTTAGGGGCCTAAGCTATTGCTTCATTTTCACTGGCAGGAAAATGACGTTCAGCTGAAGAGCAGTTTTGCATCTTATCAAAGAAGTGCTAAATTGAAAGTCTTCATTTATATGAGTTGCATTTGCCCGGAAGCCGGTGGAAGGAGGAAGCAGAAAAGACTAACTAGCTGCTCACCCAAAGATGTGTCTTATCCATAACTCGTATTTTGGAACATTATTCACCAGAGTGACAGCAAGATTTAGAGATAACCCAAAGCTGGGATGTTACCACTGTGATGACAGTCCGCTTTTGCACTGAACAGAATCACTAACAGCTGACCATCTAGCTAGAGAAACTATGCCCAGTATTATGTGCAAACAGGTGTTTTTCTCCGGGAAGTCCATCAGAGCAATGCATCTACCAGCATAAAAGTAAAATACAGAAGGAACAAAATTCAAGTTTCTGTGAGATTCGAACTGTGTTATTGCAATTGTGACAATATCTTTAAAAAATTCTTCTGGTAACCTTGGTGTTTTATTTTTAACCCACACACATGCAGACAGACAGAAAGAAGGTCAGACAGAAAGATAACTCCTACCCTCGCGGGCTGCAAAGCCACTGCTGCCTACACACAGCAAACCCAACAGGCTGGCCAGAAAAAGCACGTCACATGCGCTCAGAGATCCAAAATAGAGAAAGGTCAAGTTTAAGGGTCAAGATAGTTACGTGACAAGTAATGAGATCCAGCTCTGGGGACTTTCTTTCAATTCAGTCTGATTTCATAACACTTGTCTGTTTGCAAGCATTTTTAGTGTTCAGGCAAACAGCACGCACACACGTGCACCACCACAGCAGGTCCCCTTCCCAAAACCTTCGCAAAGAGGCCAAGGCTGAAAGTACATTGTGTCCAAAGAGCCTTTTTTAGGTATGGTGTCTCCAAACTAGGTTGAAGGTAGGTGAGCCAAACACATGCAATTTTGGACGGCTGTTGTATTTCTTACAGAACAGGTACTAAAACTACTTTTCTGAGCTCCAGCACATCTGACAGTACTTAAACTTCACAATAACTTTATTATTTCAAAGCAATTTATCTAAAGCAATTCATCTAATAAAAAAACAGGTTGAATGATGAAGCTCTCTGGTATGTACTCCTGCCACTGATGTATTTCAGTTCCAATACTCATCTGCCACATGACTGTGCTGGACTTCATCAAATGCTATTACTATATGGGAGAACACGAACAGGTACATTACATTTGATTAAAATCAAAATAGTAACGTGATTCTTTTATGACAGCCACAGATAAGAAGCCAAGCTGGTAACAGGCTGAAATTCCCAGATTTATTTCCTGTGTTTTCATGTAGACAGAAAGCACATCATCACACATGAGATGAAAAAGTCGTCCTGTGTTTCAATTTGCTGACCACGAGCCTGACAATTTTTGCTTCCCTTGCACCATTAATTACTTTGGTTTGTTTCTCAAAAAGCTCTTTCAGAAAGTTGTACAGAAAGTAATAAACAAGCATTACTCATCGGATCCTGGAAATCTCAATGCATTTATTAAAAGCTTTCAAAATAATGGATCTCAGTTCTAACACTGCCACAACATTAATGCCACTGTACTCACCAAAGCAACCCAGGAACAAGTTACTGCGCAGGCACGCATAACAGCCTGCTCTGAATATTATTTTTTGACGTTTTCCTTTGAATGTTTTCTTATCCAAAGGATGAATCACCTCAAAATAGATGTTACACAGTGTCTGTCTGTATGCAGGCTCTAATTAATGTGACATCATGTAAAATTCCATATGGCTAAACGGATTAAATGACATTTTGAAAGATTTACAGCACTGCTAACATCTCTAAATTTGCATCTACAAGTACCTTGCTAAATCACCAAGTAAACAAAAACTTATTAAAGCAGGGGTTTATGCCAGATTTAATAACACAACTTTTTCTGTAATAGCTACTGACACAGCTATTAATTCATCACTTTGTTGCAAATGAAGCTGAATTTTCTAAGCCAAAACAAGCACCACACGCTTCTGCTTTTTTTCTGGAGTTCACAGTGGTTTTCCCGGGTACGAAAGCCAGCCCCATACCTGAGGTACTGTCCAGTGCCACTGCAGCTGAGACTACAGAGACAGGCGGGGATGGAACTTCTGTAAATCAAAAGCAAACATCCCAGCCTACAGCCTCTAAATTCATTCCTAGAGACAGTGTTTTGTGTCCGCCCGGTGTGATGAAGCCTTACAAAAAGAGAGAGGAAGATAGGAAAATAGGCAAAATAAAAGCAAATCATGCCACTACCTTATGAATGGGGTGAAAATCTCTGCTGCCTGCCTGGAGCTGGACGTATCCGTTGTGCTCCAAACCTCGCCAGGAAAGCTCGGTGCGATGAAACAAAAAGGGTTTACCAAGAAAATGGAGAGAAGGCAAAAAAAACCCAAACAAAAAAAGTAACCCCAAAAACCCAAAACCAAAACAAAACAAAAACCTCAGAAGAAAAGCCGTATGTCTTTACAGCCTGATCTCTGAAGCTGTAGTGCATCTTAAAGCCTATCTACCTCTCCGAAGGGACTTACCACAAGCGTGCAGCACAGGAACTTGTTCATTGTGGTCGGTGGAAGAAACCTCAGGGCGCCGGGAAGCCAGGGCAGAGCCAGCTCCCGCTCCAGCCTCCTAGCAGCCTGCTCGCATCCCCCAACATTAAAGACACGATATATATATAGTCCCGGTGTAACAGGAAGCTTTGGCTCAGCTTTGATCACTCATTCCCTACCATGACCAAACTTTTCTCTCTCGCGCGCTCTCTCCCCCTCTTTTTTTTTTTCCCTCTTTTTTTTTTTTTTAAAGGAACCTGTTAAACTTGATGACTTAATGGAACTCTTTGAGTGCTGTAACCACAGAGTGGAAAATGCAGGAGGGAGTGTCAGGGGCTGGCCAGGGGAGGGTTTAATTGGGCTCTGGCTGTCTGGCTGGCTGTGTCCCAACCGTCCCTTCCCTTCCCCTCAGCAGCTGGCTTGGAGGGGACACCCGCGCCTCGGGGGGACGGCGGCTCCCTCACGACAGACCCGGTTACAGATCCCTGCTGGAGGCCGAGCTGCAGGGCTCAGCACAGCCGGGGCTGCCATTTCCCCAGGAGGAAGAGGGCTCATTCCGCTTCGGAGCCCGAGGGATTTCCAGGAGCGGGGCTGGCTGGGAAGCAAAGGCCAGGGAGGGGCCGGGCGCGGGGGAGGGGGG